TCTTACGACGAGCATGGGTTGCTGAAGACCGATCCTAACCCGGTTCTTCACGGGTATGCACACATGTTGAGAATCTCCCATGGGCCGATGTCACCTACTCCTTGAACATCGAAAAGCAGAATAGCAAGACATATATTACCTGAGATAGATATGATTAAGTTTCTGAACTCATGTCCAGATGTAAATATACACCTACATCACTGGGCTTTTTCAAACATTTCCTAGTGCAGACAACATGCTTTGTTAACGAATGTGAGCCGCCTGAAAATGGTTAAGTAGTATTTACAAATAATCCCTTCACAATGTCGCTTTTCAAGTGTTCAGTGGTTTCCCAACGGAAAAATAAAGGTTTTTATTACCATTTATGAACACGAAAGGAAATTACTGTCAGTTATCAGTGGTAAATACGATTACCTAACCAACCCTGTTTATATAACCTGCACTGTACCACCTACTATCAAGGCGAGAGTGGCGTGAAAAACACGACTGTGTAACAATGAGGTACCAGATGAGATATTTCCTGTTCTTTGTGCTCATGCACCTGTTTACTGGCTCCTGCAGGCTGCAGGGTAGATAACAAGGTGAAATACTAAGCCGGAAGTAGTGGGAGGTCTTGTGTTGATCCATGATCAAATATTTTGCAGTAAAACCACAGGGGACTCGCCAGTCCGATTTAGTCCTGTCACAGTGGTTTATGTCCTGGCGTTGCGTGGGGTGGCTGGGTTGGGGTATTTAGTGCGGGTTATTAAAACTGAAAGTTAAGAACACGATATCCATGTCTGTGGCTTGTTTGCAATTTGCTTATCAACCCTGTGTCATTCATGTTCGGCGATTCAAAACCTCGTCAAGGTGTGTTTGAAGTAAACTTTAAAAGTTTTGAAGTAACAATCGTTCAGTAGATTACATTCACTAGGAAGTGTAGCCTGGACAGGACAAGACTGTATTACACCCGACAGTGCTGATCGTTGGTTGTCTGGTCAAGACTGTATTACACCCGACAGCGCTGATCGTGGGTTGTCTGGTCAAGACTGTATTACACCCGACAGCGCTGATCGTTGGTTGTCTGGTCTAGACTGTATTACACCCGACAGCGCTGATCGTTGGTTGTCTGGTCAAGACTGTTTTACGCCTGACAGCGCTGATCGTTGGTTGTCTGGTCTAGACTGTATTACACCCGACAGCGCTGATCGTTGGTTGTCTGGTCTAGACTGTATTACACCCCACAGCGCTGATCGTTGGTTGTCTGGTCTAGACTGTATTACACCTGACAGCGCTGATCGTTGATTGTCTGGTCTAGACTGCATTAAACCCGACAGCGCTGATCGTTGGTATGTAGGGTCCTGACTGCATCATTCTCGACGGTACATCATGAACGGATAAAGTTGTTATTCCAAAACAAGTTGCCATTAGCACTACATTAATGATGTCTTCTTTCACTATGTTCGAAATTATCAGAGTCTATCCGGTTCTCCTAAATTTCCCAAGAGCCTCATTATGGCGAGGGTTTTATACCTGGCCGGGGAGTAGCTTGAGGCGACGGATCATTTCATCCTTGACATATTTCACCCTTTGCAAACACATTCCGGTGAAATTGAAAGTATTCTCAAAATATTCTCAAGCCGTTTATGGTGATATTACACTATTGTGTATGTGCGTGGTGTCCTCACAGTCGGGTGCACTTTATAGGATATTTGCACTCCAGGCGTAATGTTTTGGGAACTTTGTTAAAACATATACGCCTCTTCTTGCAAATATGAGTGATAAAAATCAACATTTAGGCAATCTTTATCGCCAGCAGTGTTCAGTTACCTGGGAACTTATGAAAGGATGAATCCGTTTTCGTTAAATTATTTAAGTTTTATTATGTGGTACTCAGTAGAATCAGATGTAGCATGAATCGTCTGAACCTGATTCAATAGAAATTCAAACCGAGCTATTTCTCATAATTTTGAAAGTAATCTAAACATTGAATGGCTGACAAATATGCGATCCTTTATAAATGATCGTGACTCGGCGTTGTTGATACAAAATTTAATTATTGATGGATAAAGTATTTTATTTAAATGCCATAATGCATGCCATAAAACCAGTGAGCCATGTACCTACCTTTGTCTACGCTGCTGAACTCTCGGTTTAAATGTATAGGTACGCTGAACATTCAGGGATGTTTTGAACGCTGAGGGAACCCTTGCACAAAGGCTGCTCGAACTGATTAATTGTCTGTAGTTACAAAAAGTTAGAGGTGGAGAAGTATTTGCATGTGGCTTTTGTGTGTTTATATTCTATATGCCAATATACATTATATGTTTGGAGGGTTAAATATATAGGCTCGTAGAACCAACCGACTGTGTGGGTGTAATGTTTAAGTGGGTGGGTGAATTTTTGTGTGTGAGTGAGTGGGTGGGTGGGTGAGTCACTGTCTGAGTGACTAAAGTTGGTTGGTTGGTTTGTCGTTTAACGCCGCACTCAGCAATACTCCAGCTATATGGCGGCGGTCTGTAAATAATTGAGTTTGGACCAGACAATCCAGGGATCAACAGCATGACCATCGATATACGCAATTGGGATGACATGTGTTAACCAAGTCGGCAAACCTGTTAGTCGCCTCTTGCGACAAACATGGGTTGCTGAAGACCGATTCTAAACCGGACGAGTAACTAAAGCAGTATTCTAGATATATTACTTCTGCCTGTAGACGATCTAGTCTGGACCACGCAAACCTAGGATTGATAACAGTCACCGTATCCCATTTGCGTTGCCCGAAGCTTAAGATGGTCCAGATTGGAATATATGCAGGCTTCCGTTATATAGATGAAATATTGCTGCGGCGTTTAACAACACATAACAACAAACAATGGTCACAAAAGATAAGCCGTCCAATCCTCATCTCAAGTAGGTCAAAGAAAATAATAATATTAATAATAATAGATCCACTTGCAAGACACTCATACACCACACTACGTGCTCATGGCGTAACGGAAAAGAGAGTTATGTGATGTTAAGAGCTTGAAAGGATGAGTCTATGGTTTGAATTGTGTCAGGGTTTCGGCAAATCCTAAACAGTCAGTCAACGAATCCAACTCCACAGCAGCTGTTAATCCGAAAGAGCGATATCCAGAAGTGTTCTGGGTTCATAGAAAGGACAACTGTCTTCCTCTGGTTACTGGATCAGAGATATCGTGTTAGTGTCTATGTCGTCATACTATCTGACGGTTAGTTTGAGGGAGAGCCTGTGATGGATAGATACGAAAGGGAGTGTATCTTTAACCCACGCTTGCTTGTGGTTAGACTAAGGCTTACTCTCTGAATATATATCATTTTGATAGTAACAAACAAGCCCATTTATATTGAAAAGGAGCCCTAGGGAGACCAGAGATTCAGAACCTGAGGAAATCTAGACTTGCTTTATTTAGGGCTTTAGCACTGCAAAGAGGGCTTGGCAGTAGGGAAATTAATGTGGTTCAGGGACTGTGAGACAGACTAGCTTGTGGTGTACATCAGCAGTGATGGGGCTTGCTTGTGGTGTACATCAGCATTGACGGGGCTTGCTTGTGGTGTACATCAGCAGTGAAGGGGCTTGCTTGTGGTGTACATCAGCATTGATGGGGCTTGCTTGTGGTGTACATCAGCAGTGATGGGGATTGCTTGTGGTGTACATCAGCATTGATGGGGCTTGCTTGTGGTGTACATCAGCAGTGATGGGGCCTGCTTGTGGTGTACATCAGCATTGATGGGGCTTGCTTGTGGTGTACATCAGCAGTGAAGGGGCTTGCTTGTGGTGTACATCAGCATTGATGGGGCTTGCTTGTGGTGTACATCAGCAGTGAAGGGGCTTGCTTGTGGTGTACATAAGCAGTGATGGGGCTTGCTTGTGGTGTATATCAGCAGTGATGGGGCTTGCTTGTGGTGTACATCAGCATTGATGGGGCTTGCTTGTGGTGTACATCAGCAGTGAAGGGGCTTGCTTGTGGTGTACATCAGCAGTGATGGGGCTTGCTTGTGGTGTATATCAGCAGTGATGGGGCTTGCTTGTGGTGTATATCAGCAGTGATGGGGCTTGCTTGTGGTGTATATCAGCAGTGATGGGGCTACACAATGGAGTGGCGACAACACGGGCTACTCTGTTCTGAACATGTTGTAATACTGCTATAGATCGACATCTCCCTCCTCACGGGGCGGTGGGGTAGCCTAGTGGTTAAAGCGTTCGCTCGTCACGCCGAAGACCCGGGTTCGATTTCCCACATGGGTACAATGTGTGAAGCCCATTTCTGGTGTCTGCTGGAATATTGCTAAAATCGGCGTAAAATCATACTCACTCACTCACTTACTCCCACAACACTTCATGATGTAATGAAAGTACTGCAAGGTATAATACCCTTCATCCTCTATATACCGAAGTCGTGGAATGTGATTTTGCCAAAATGCTTAAGTTTCTCCTATGAATATTTATGATTCAGAACAACATATTCCTGTTGATATATTTGTATACTGACATTTTAACTTGGTGCCATCATCACAGCGACTCTCCTGGCATCCAAACTTTAAAAGGTGGTGTTCTTATTATTGTTCCAATCTATAGTATATTTGGTAAGTGACAACAGTACAAGTTTAAATAGACCGCCTCCGTGGTGTAGTGGTTAGAGCGTCCGCCCGGAGTGCGGAAGGTCGCGGGTTCGATCCCCGACCGCGTCATACCAAAAGACGTTAAAATATGGTACTTGTTGGTCCCTGCCTGGCGCTCGGCATTAATGGGTACTGAGGACTGGTCGGCTCGGAGTCAGTATAATGTGTCTGAGTGGGGTATTCATGCTTCACTGCGGCATGGTATTTCAGTGGGCTAGCACTATAAAACTAGCTTCAGTCTGGGCTAGTACAAGCAGCCACACATACACATACACACGCATGCACGTCGTCATATGAGCGAAATATTCTCAAGCACGACGTTAAACCCAATTCCACCACCACCACAAGTTTAAATGTCTTTTTTAATCTCTTTCCAGATTCATCGTCTTCATCAGCATCAACTACATCATCTCCGTCCACATCATCATCATTAACAACACCAGGTACGGCAACACCATAATGTACTTTTATATATCCTAGTTTGCTTTTAGTTTTAATGTTTCCATAAATTTTAGCCAGTTTTGTATTTCAAATGTAAGACATATTCTGCTTTCTTCTCAAATAAAGATTGTCTTCACAGCTTTGCGGGACTTCCAGGATCTGAAAGTTTTCAACGTATATAACTATACTCAAAGTATAATATATCACTATAATCTAACAAGACGGCATGACGTCATTCATATGTTTATCGTGACGTAATAACATGATTCAGTAACGTCATGACTTTCTCATTTAGAACATTAAAGAAAGAGTCATGCTGCAAAAAAAACACATTATAATTTTGTTTGTACGAACTCAATAAAAATATGGGAGAGGTGGGAGTAGGATTTCGTCGGTATTGCAGAAATACAAGTAGTATGAACAACGAGGAGAGTTCTATGGATACACAACTTCTTTAATATATTATGAGCGACGTTTCGGTGTAGCTACTAACACCGTTATCAAGCAAATGATGTACAACACTAGAGGCAAGGTATATATATGCATAGTAAAGTTAAGCAGGAAGTGATTGATGTTTGCACAATTAATGAGGTTGATGTACATGGTTGGAGGATGTTTATACAAGAAGGTAATTGTTACACAAACAGAGTAAGCTATGGGAGATTATTGGGAGGAAGCCAGTGATGTGACAGACAGGAGAATAATGGGATTAAGATTGCTTGGTGATGAGTTGGTTGTAGGCAGTGGGCATGTAATATCCTTGGTGTCTGTTCATGGCCAGTTGGAGTCTCTTGATGTGAATGGCTTCTATAGTCTGTTTGCAGTGAAAACGTACCGGTGAATTGCACCTTAAACAAAAATGTAAATCGAATAAAGTGAAATTAAGATTGCGAATCCTCATAATTCTACCTTATTTGATTTACTTTTTTGTTTAAAGTGAAATTAATTTGTACTTTTTCACCGCAAACAGACTCTAGTAGCTTTCTGATTTTGTAGTGGGTGTGATTACTGGTGAGTACATTGAGTTGTATATCCATAGAACTCTCCTCGTTGTTCATCACACCAACTTCTAAATGCAAACAAGTTCCAAGTAGTATGGTTTGAGACCTCCAACTTCGGCTCTGAGTAAAGTATGGTGTCATTGTAAGACTGTCACTGAGATTATACGAAAGGTAATTGGTATTAGGATTTTAAAATAGATGGATATTATTAATGACGTCCACTTAAATGATGACACAGAGGACGTAGCTCCACCCATAGTCTGTCTCACAGTCCCTTAACCACATTATGTCCTTCCGCCCAGCCCATTCTGCAATGCTTAAGCCCTAGATGAAGCAAGTCTAGATTTCCTCAGTTTCAGATTCTGATTCTACCATCTCACTGAGGCTCCTTTTCAATTTAGATGGAATTATTTGTGTAACATAATTTATATTTGGAATTGCACTTTCTTAGTAAAGTACAGATTAAAGTACTAGAATCTGTACTTTACTATAAAAGTGTAATCCCAAATATAACATATGTTACATGTGACCACTTTCTAATGTTATAGGTCATCAAAATGATATGTTCGGAGACTAAGCGTGAGTCTACTCCAGCCATACCAAAGCTACATTCAGAGCATACCCACCCCCTCAACATACACACGCCACCCTTAAGTATGATTAACTTGTATATCATTGACAGTCTTCTATTTCATGACGTTATCGCCCATTGTTTGTGTGTGTAACTCCACGACTATCCAGCACGATCATGTCCCTCAGAGGTTAAAGAGCTTGGAAGGGTTCGTCAATTAACGACAGTAATAGCATATGTGTCGGTTGGAGGGGGTGTAACGCGCCTATGTGTGAAACACCTCACTTCCTGCATGGGGAGTCAGATAGACAACATGCTAACGATATTTCAAAGGTGAATCACGACGGCTAATGGTACTGTGCGTTTGACCTTTGAAGACTGACCTTCATCGCGGCCAGACAATGTTGTGTCTCAGCACTGTAGACAATTACTGCGTGCTGAGCGGTAGTAATACATTTGAGATTTGATTTTGACGTGTAAAGGGCATATATCATTTACTATGAACATCTGGCTCATGTATTAATGCAACATATTTGTAGTAGAGACTATTTTTAAAGGGGAACTAGACCTTGAAATATGCTCGGTACAATATCACTAAAATGTTTCGCCTCAAGTGTTCTGTCAATACAGTCAGAGCTACTCCAAATGAAAGAAAGATGTCTGTGTTTGTCATTTTCATTTACAGTACCAGGTATCAGAGAGTTTAGTATAACGTGGTTAACGCAGTATGATGCATTAATATTTTACTCATTTCTTTCGTGTTTTTTTGCGATGTAATCCTCGCTGCTTTGTAAATAGACCTGATTTCAAGGTAAAGAACATGAATAGGTTTTTAAGTTTCTTTAGTGAGCATTGATGAAGGAAATTGAGCATAAAGTATTTTTGGAAGGGAGGGTGAGGATTTTCTGTTTGTGACGGAATATTATGTCAATAAACACTTCAAAATATATTTCTTCCCGTAGGAGCTCGATACTATTCCGAAGATTTTATTTGTGATTATTTATGCTTTCAGCACATATATCATACGATGGCAGTTTAACGTTACAGCAAGAATGGAAGGGTACGGAGAAAGAGTTAAACACAAACTTTTCAAGTGAGGTAAGCATATATCTGGCGTAACAAGTGTAACATTTGTATAGTTAGTGTTTACACCATCAATAGTTATAGATTTGGGAATCATGTTATTGTCATGATAGCTATTGTTTCTCGGTCAGTTTGTTTTGACGCAATATCTCCACACCGAGAAACTGTTCTAAATATAGTTCTTATGGTGCTATTGTTCAGTCAGTTGGGATACAATGTTTCTTTATCTATGGAAATGATCTTACCCATGTTGTTGTCGATTTACGCATGTGGCTCTCGGTGCCACATCCTGGTTGCACCTCTTACCCGTGATAGGATTCGTAGGTTCGAGACCCGGGAAGATCAGTGTTAGAACTGGTCTTGAGCATCCCATGCTTGTCGTAAGAGGCGACGAACGGGATCGGGTGGTCAGTCTCGCTGTCTTGGTTGACAGATGTCATCGTATCCCTATTGCATAGATCTATGCTCATACTGTTCATCACTGGATTGACCGCCTCCGTGGCGTAGTGGTTAGAGCGTCCGCCCGGAGAGCGGAAGGTCGTGGGTTCGATCCCCGATCGCGTCATACCAAAAGACGTTAAAATATGGTACTTGTTGGTCCCTGCCTGGCGCTCGGCATTAATGGGTACAACAATGACTGGTCGGCTCGGAGTCAGTATAATGTGTCTGAGTGGGGTATTCATGCTTCACTGCGGCATGGTATCTCAGTGGGCTAGCACTATAAAACTAGCTTCAGTCTGGGCTAGTACAAGCAGCCGCACATACACATACACACGCATGCACGTCGTCATATGAGGGAAATATTCTCAAGTACGACGTTAAACCCAATTTCACCTCACCTCACCTCATCACTGGATTGTTCAGTGACAAATGCAGCTTTGGGACACGGACACGCTCAGACAACAAAATGTGTACTGTCGACCCAAACCTCAATGTGATGAGTTTCAGCTGCATGCTACGAAATGAATCATGGCCAGTTTGATTTTATTTCAGATGGATATCATAGTAGAAGACACGCCTTTAGAGGAATCTTACACAGGCTCTAATGTCCGGAGTTATAGGTAGGCCTACCTGGGATAATATTAGTTGTCAATTTATATATCATTCATGTAATTGTCACAAAATGGTTATTTATTGGAGGTGACTAACGGGATAGGGTGGTCAGACTCGCTGACTTGGTTGACACATGTCAACGTATCCCACTTGTGTAGATCGATGCTGATACTGTTGATTACTGGATTGTCTGGTCCACACTCGGTTATTTACAGACCGCCGCCATAAGGCTAGAATATTGCTGAGTGCGGCTTATTCAAACAAACTATTTCCATGAACTTTCGAACGCTCCTCAGGCATTCTTATTTAAAAGTGTTTGTTCTCCATTCCTAAATAGAATGCACAATGTGTATAGTAAATATGCCTATCGCAGTCTCTATAGATAAACCACGGGATTTCCGTATGGGTCCCGTGGGTAAAGCAACTGTTCGGATAGCGGACGGTCGGTAGTTCGATTCCTGGCCTCATATATGCAATACCAAGAGACCATGACAAGTTACTTGTTATTACCCTGCCTGCCTACCCTGGGTTATCCATGTTGAAGGGGAACATGGTATCTCAGTGGGTAAAGGGGTAAAGAGAAGTCGACTCGGGTGTTTGAGTTGGGTTGTCCATGTTGAAGGGGAACATGGTATCTCAGTGGGTAAAGGGGAAAAGAGAAGTCGACTCGGGTGTTTGAGTTGGGTTGTCCATGTTGAAGGGGAACATGGTATGGGTGGGTAAGCACTGTAGAACCACATATAGCTATATGTCATGTCGACCGTATTGGTGAACACTTCATAAGTAAACTAAAACACCTGCTGACTATTATCGATTGCATAACCCAATAGCATGTTTAATGAAATAGAATGTGAATAGGCAAATATACAATATTTGTTTTGAAGATCTTATTCGAGTTCTATAAACATGATAGATGGCGCCCTTACAAATCTGGGATGTGGGGTAGCCTAGTGGTTAAAACGTTGGCTCGTCACGCCGAACACCCGGGTTCGAATACCCACATGGGTACAATGTGTGAAGCCCATTTCTGGTGTCCCCCGCCGTGATGTTGCTGGAATATTGCTAAAAGCGGCATAAAACCATACTCAGTCAGTCAGTTTACAAATCTACATCTAATTTGCAGCGAGGAAACTAGCCAGTTAGCGTTCACTCTGTTTTTCACATCCGGGCTACTGGACTTAGAGGTACCTACCCCTAGCCCGGGGGTAACCGACCGGCACGGGTACTTCATCGAGAACCAGCTCAGGGACTCCGTAGCCAGCAAGGACAGCTCCCTGGGGATAGATTCAAAAACTATAGAAATTGTTGGTGAGAACCGTTAACGCTGAATCACATTTACCGTAACTGTAAACCGCCTCCGGTGTGTAGTGGTTAGAGCGTCCGCCCGGAGAGCGGAAGGTCGCGGGTTCGATCCCCGACCGCGTCATACCAAAAGACGTTAAAATATGGTACTTGTTGGTCCCTGCCTGGCGCTCGGCATTAATGGGTACAACAAGGACTGGTCGGCTCGGAGTCAGTATAATGTGTCTGATATTCTCAAGCACGACAATAAACCCAATTTCACCTCACCTCACCTCACCTCACCTCACCTCACTTCACCTCACCTCAACTGTAAATTAGTGAGGCTCCTTTCACATTTTCTTGTTTATTTGTATTTTTTTATTTCCAAGTTCTGAAAAAAAATATTCATGAGTGATATAAAACTGTTGGGGTTTGCATTGAGGTTATGATAGGCCAGGGCGAATTGTATACGCTTCTTTATGCCAAAGTGTAAGATCTTGCTCTCACAATCAATTTTACTATACCAAAGCAATATATAAAATTGATTAATATATTTTTTTTACATTATGCAGAACACATTCCAAGTTCTTCATTATCATCAACGACAGGTAAGCCAGCGTTTATTAATTTGGAAGTATTTGATATTAACAATGTATAATTGTATGAATTTCTATATCTAGATTTCTCAGATGTACAGTGGTCACTGTGATTCTCAGGAGTACAATGGTTATTGTTGTTCTCAAGCGTATAATGGTTACTGTGGTTCTGGTGTACAATGGTTATTGTACTCAAGAGTACAATGATTATTCCTGTTCTCGGTGATTCTATGGTCACAGTCGTCCTTAGATGTTTAATGGCTACTACACTGGTTATTGTCAGTGCGGAAGTTCCCAATATTTCTACTGTCCCTGGGATGTAAGTCCTAGGTAAACCTTGGTCGTGGGATTTTCAATACAATTTCAATGTCTTAATTACCTATTGGGTGCATTACGCAAAATGTCACATTCCAAGATGAAAGGAATGCCTCCAAGCTTTATTTCAATCATTTCGTTAGTCGGTATTTTGTTGTTTCCATCAGCTTCATCAACATCAGAAACAACATCGTCATCAGTATCAACATCAACGACATCACCATCAACATCATCAGTGGCACCATCAACATCAACTCTTTCCACAACAGCATATCCATGTGAGTATACTTGTTCCCTGGATGAAGGAGTGAGTGAGTGAGTTTGGTTTTACGCCGCTTTTAACAATATTCCAGCTATATCAGGGCGGGGACACCAGAAATGAGCTTCACACATTGTACCCATGTTGGGAATCGAACCCGGGACTTCGGCGTGACGAGCGAACGCTTGGACCACTAGGCTACCCTCCACCCCCAACCCCTTGATGAAGGAGAGAGATGTTGTGTGTGTGTGTGTCTGTTTGTGTGTGGGTGTTTGTTGTTTTTGTTTTGTTTGAGTTTTGGGAGTTTTTTTCTTCTTGTTTTTTCTTTATTTATTTTCATTTATTCTTTTTCTTTTCTTTCTTTTCTTAGGGGGTAATTATTCTTTTTCTTTTATATATTTATGTTTCTTTGTGTGTGTCTCTGTGTGTCTGTTTGTGTTTGACGGTGCCTATCAGTATTTCTGATTACAGGCATAACTATTATTGATAGTGCATCTCTTCTTTCATGACATATGACGAGAGTCGTATATTTCTCCGTAGCTTCGTCCGTTACAACACAAACGACGACGACATTAAAGAGTACTACTACTACGGTGCCGTTACCTCCACGTAAGTTTCAACACATTTTATTGATTTTTAAAAATATACAGATTTTACAAAAGTACAAAATTTAAACAGTTAATTTCAACTCACGTTTGGTAAAAGAGAAATCTCGTCATTCTGGAAAGTCCATCTTCCACACACCTAATATACTTTCTATTCAAATTTTGTATTGTTTAATCCGGACATTTCATAATGCGGACGGATGTCTGGCCATCTGTCAGAAGCCCTTTTTTCCGTTTCCGGACTAAAACGTCATCTGCATCTGTTCCAGCGCAATGTTCCCCTCTTGCCTTCGAACTGTGCCGCAGCGTCGGTTACAACGTCACCTACTTGCCCAACATGTGGGGGAGCCCTACAGAAGACCAGGCCATCTCACATTTCTACCAGATCGTCAACAACACCCTGCAGTCTGAATGCTCCCCTCTCACTCTGTTTTACTTCTGTGGACTTTTCTTCCCTGAGTGCAACATTTACCATCAATTTATCTACCCTTGTGTCGAAGTGTGTGAGGGTGAGTAGCCACGATATCGCCGTCATCTTACGTTACTGCACGTTATAACCTATTAGTACACGTTATTACACGTTATTACACGTTACCACACGCTATTACTCGTTACTACACGTTATTACACGTTACTAAACGTTATTACACGTCAGCACATGTTATTACACGTTACCGCACGCTATTGCATGTTACTACACGTTATTACACGTCACTACACGTTATTACACGTCAGCACGTTATTACACGTTACCGCACGCTATTGCATGTTACTACACGTTATTACACGTTACTACACGTTATTACACGTCAGCACATGTTATTACACGTTACCGCACGCTATTGCATGTTACTACACGTTATTACAGGTTATTACACGTCAGCACATGTTATTACACGCTACCGCACGCTATTGCATGTTACTACACGTTATTACATGTTACTACATGTTATTACACGTAGTGAACTGGAGCTATCTCGTGTTAGTAACACCTTACCAGACGCTATCTCATTTTATGACACCTCATCTCAAATGACGAAAGATTATCAAATGTCACATGTCACTTTCAGTAATGAGGGGCCCGATGGGGGAGATCACAAGTTAGTTGTCAGTTAAATTTGGTTAGTTGTTCGTAGTCATTATTTCGGCTTGTCGGTGAAAACAAAACACGCTAATAGTGGAGAAAGCTCTGAAAATGCGAAATCATCTATGTGGGAATGCGAATCGTCATGGAACCATGAAGACAAACGGTTCTACTTTCGTTTCATTGCATCAGTTAGTGTTTAACAAACACCTGACTACTTTGTTATGTCTGTAGATCTAGCTATACACGGTCTTCATATATATTTCAGCACGATTACATTAACGTGTAAAGTATCCATGTGTGCTAAATAGGTTTTTTGTCGACATCTTTTAAGATACAAAACTGACTCATCGTACGTTTACGCTACCCCCATCTGGACCCTCCTTAATGAATTCAATATCACATATAATGGTTATGTATATCAATACTATCTATAGTCATTGGGTAACTCAGTGTGCCATCTGTACAGGATATTCCATGATATCTCACATTTATATTGTGTTGTTAAAAAAGGATCTGCAGTCGGAGGAAATGCCTTATTTTACATGTTAAAAAAAAGGGCAAATACCTGTTATTGTTGTTCTGGAGTGACGCTTTTGCATATATATATATATATATATATATATATACGTTGTTAGTTATATATTTTATAGAAATGATTTTATGTTACCCCTATTAACCTAAACATTAAGTATTATGTCGTTCTCTGTGATAATCGGTATCAGTAAAAAATAACATAGTTCCGTAAAGTTTATTGTGTATTCATATACCCCTGTTTTCAAAAACGGGTTGTTCTTTTTTTTCAGTTTGTATTGTTTGTTGTTGTTGTTTGTTTTGTTATTATTATTTTTCACTATTGTTATTTTTTCTAATTATTATTATTATTATTATTATTGGGGGCGTTAGTGGTTATCGCGAACAGTATGTCCGTCTATACGTCTGTCCGCTATACTAGACGGTCGAGTAATATCAATGATCAGTTTAGTGGTATAATGGTGGTTTTTTATACTTTTGAATATCTATTTACTCAATTTCCGATTTACACCTGATGCCTCTTGTTTCAGCTGTCAACCGAAATTGCATCGAGGAAAACACCCTTCGCATTAACTGCAGCTTCTACAACACCACTAATCCATGTCTGTCACCACCGTCCTCGCTCACAACGACGGTAGCACCTGTCACCACCACTCGACCTGGTAAGTTGTAACGCTATATAACATCTCACAATGATTTATAGTCAGCTAAATGGGCTCGTGGTTCTTCTTCAGGTGCTCAAGGAAAGAAGCAATTTGTTGATAATTAATAACAATTTGATGATAACTGAAGTTTTTGTTATTATTGATGTCGTTATTGTTGCTGTTTTTCAAGCAGGTATTTCTTTTGTAAATTAAGACATAATTGCATTCCTTTTCCATTTTTTCAGCATGAACAGATTTGCTTGAAATTGAACAAATACTGAAACCTTCATCATTATTTTATAAACCTCATGCACATTGTTGGACAGGACGTTAGAATGTGAAGTTGCAGTATAGTTTGTAATAATGCTAGGAACATTAGCATACAAGCTCAAAGAATTGATAGCTAGCATGTTTTCTTACACTTGAAATGTTTTTGCTTCTTGCATACAGACTAATTATCAAAATCAGTGTTAAATAATTATTTTTACAACTTCAAGAGAAAAGACAATAACGAGCCAAGTCCGTAACGCAAGAGTATATTTCTGAAAGTTAGTGCTTTATTGTCTACGTTTTCGAAAATAATCTGTAGTAAAACACTTGCTCAAATTTAAAACTCTGTAAATCCAAAATATGTATGTGATGAACGAATGTCTGTTTGACATTAATAAGAACATATCTGAACAATTTGTAACATGTTTGTTCATTTCAAAAGTATGCCGTTCACTTAAAAGACCATCATTGTTCCTTGTACCTTGGAAAGTTAAACAACGAGAATGTCATCTGTCCAAGTGAAATATGAGTGTACCTTCTTCCAAGAAAAGGAAATCAGATATTAATTATGTCTGGTAGATACTACTATTTGTCTTACAGTAAAATATATGTTTTGCAAAACAATGTACAAGTCTGGTTTGGAGAATGATAATCCTGAGAGTCGATAGTCATGCTTTACTTCACCATTAGACAATATGAGTTCTTCGTGGTTACACAACACACTTTCCTTCATACTAAAACATTATGTGAAGCTGAAGTAATGTCAAGGAATTAATAACCTACATGGTCCGTACGAGTGATGTTATAGGTGTAATATATATGATTATAGGAATTTAGCTCAACATGTAAAACGCCCTTGTTAAAACTTTTAAATACAGCGTATCATCTAGTCTGGAATTTAAGGCGCGACGGGGCTGAAAACACACTGTATAGAACCGCATGGACGTGAAAATAGCTCATGTCCAATGAACCATGATCAATATTGCCATATAAGACAGTGACTTCCGTAAACTGCATATATTACCCGAGAAAGGGTCAAAGGTTACCATTTGATGGCCGACACGGTGCGCCTATTGTTCGCGGCCGGAAGACGCGTTCTCGCTGCAGACAGGAGTGTTTACTCTGCATCAATATAAATATAATATTTATAAGGACAAGGCCGACAACAACTATTTACCACCTGACCGAATTTATATACACTTTTGATGTTTGTAAATAGTTTATGCACATATTTGTGTCGTCTTGGTTTCTAAAGTAAACGTTTAAATTTCAAAGTGACTGGACTCTTCTCTGCTAATGGGGTATGATTAATGCCACGATGCTCTATGTGGACCACTCCTGTCCTTGAACGTCATATACGACAGTTAAAGCTTTGGTAAAACAGCAACAGGATTTCTAAAATTAGTGACAAACCCTAAGACGGAGGTATTTAACGTCATCTGTAAGATCGCCATGTCATTCTCAACGACTCATCTCAGGACTTCAAGTTGTGTAATGGCCAACCTGCTTCCCTTCGTCCAGATAATGAACTTCATGAAGCTTGTACTGGGTGTTCATGATAACTCCATCACGACTTTTTCAGACTCTTGTACAGCTTTGACTTCCGACACTTGTAGAAACGTGGGCTACAACCGGACTTTTCTTCCTAATGTGATGCTTCATGGTTCCATGGGGGATGCTGTGGACGGCTTCAACATGCTTCCGGAAACAATGGTGAACTCCAATTGTTCCCACCTTGTGACTTTCTACCTCTGTGGATTATACTTCCCTGAGTGCAGCGAGGATGGAAAACCGTTATATCCTTGCAAGTCTGTGTGTGAAGGTATGGAACATTCATACAGAAATACATTGTACTTATTTGTATTATATTTGTATTTATATAATGTTTATGTTGACATTATTATATTACCTAGTGTGTCATATTCAACAAATCACGAAAACAAACACTTTGTAATCTGTCGTTGGCTTGTATGCCAAAGTTTTTCTTCCAGAGAATATATATATTTTACTAGGAGCCCACTGAACTCTAGAATGATTGTGCAAGTCTAGATTATTTGAAAATAAGCATTTTTCTGGATTCCATTTGATTTTCTTTATCTTAACGATATATATTTTTTAATAAAAATGGTATTTCTAGGTCTAAATGCTAACCCAATTAATTATTTCTGAAGTTGAATGCAACATACAGTTATACATATGTAGTTCTAGCTACAGTTTAAAACTGCAATCAATTTCAAAATTACATTTGAATATCTTAAATACGAATAGTTTGAACTGACTAATAACATGTAACATTTATAAAGAGTTGTTTGATCGTTTCCTTAAAATTCAATTACAATTTTATCAAAGGAGGAAAAGTGTTGCCTCTCTTGTGACAATGTTTGTGAATCGCAGGTGTGACGGAGAGTGTCGAGGGAAAAACGTGGGGTTGACAATCATTCAACAACAGCAGTATTTTCTAGCTGGTTCGATCAATATTTTCTCTCAGTTAAATAATCATATCTGAATGAAAAAGGAGAAAGACAAATATATCATCCACATAAAACTCTGTGGAAACATTAGCTTGTGTGCTACAGTTTTAGACAGTATTCATGTGTAAGTAGGGCATTTCAACAGGATAATCTTGCGTTTGTTCAGTAAATGTAGTATTCCAATTATGGACAAGTGAGTGAGTTTGGTCTACCTCTGCTGTGGGCATTATGTGGCTCATGCCACATGTAGGAAGGAGATTCCAAAGTGTTGTGCCAGTGATATCTGTACACTACACTTGTGTAACCTACGGGTACATGTGTACCACATTTGTGTAACCTACGGGTACATGTGTACCTCATTTGTGTAACCTACGGGTACATGTGTACCACACTTGTGTAACCTGCGGGTACACGTGTACCAACTTGTGTAACCTACGGGTACACGTGTACCACACTTGTGTAACCTACGGGTACATGTGTACCACACTTGTGTAACCTACGGGTACATGTGTACCACACTTGTGTAACCTACGGGTACATGTGTACCACACTTGTGTAACCTACGGGTACATTTGTACCAACTTGTGTAACCTACGGGTACATGTGTGTACCACGGGTACTACGGGTACATGTGTACCAACACTTGTGTAACCTACGGGTACATGTGTACCAACTTGTGTAACCTACGGGTACATGTGTACCAACTTGTGTAACCTACGGGTACATGTGTACCAACTTGTGTAACCTACGGGTACATGTGTACCACACTTGTGTAACCTACGGGTACATCTGCACCACATTTGTGCAACCTACGGGTACATGTGTACCACACCTGTGTAACGTACGAGCACATAAGTATCACACCTGTATGAAGAATATATGTGTCCTGTAGTAAACAAACAGGATTCCTAAATGCACAATGTTTTAGTACATATATGCACACACACGCGCACACACACATGCGCACACTGACCGATGTGCATTATACAACTGACTTTACTTTCCCGTCTTGTTGGTAGAGCTTGCTGCCACCTGTGGGTCGTCCGTTACCATGTTTGGCTGTGACTTCCATGACAGGTACGACAACTGCATCGCTGCACCCAACAACAACAACTACTACTACTACAACTATTACCACGACCACTACTGTACCAACTACAACAACACCAGGTAAGAACGTCATCATCTGGAACAAAGAAAGTGAAAGATCGCTTTTTCAGCGACAAAGACCCAGATCAGCGACACAGATCTTTCATTTTCCAACAAATAGGAAATAAAATCATATATTATATATTTGATATCATTTGATTTATATAACAACCCTCCGTAATCAAGCAACTCCCAATATGCAAAATGTCTGATGTAACAAGCTGTGGGTGTATTACGCCGCTTTTAGCAATATTCCAACAATATCACGGCGGGGGACACCAGAAATGGGCTTCACACATTGTTCCCATGTAGGGAATGAACCCGGGTCTTCGCGTGAACGCTTTTACCTCTAGACCCAATCGCCCCAATTTATTACAAGAATATTGAAGTTTTTTTGTTTTTTTTACTTTTTAAATTATGTTTTGTTAATGTGTTTATTCATTCATGTATGAATGAACACGTGACAGTCTACCTGGAGCTGATTACAGGTATGATATATACCTGTCATTTTTTGGTTCCAGATAAATGCATCGTGTTTGAAGAAGAGTTATGTAACAAGATCGGATTTAACCGGACGCGCCTGCCCAACGTGTTCACATCAGCTACAATAGACGTTGCCAAACGGTATTTCGCCGGATTTCCGAAGAGTATAGTCCATGCAGAGTGCTCCCCCTTGACTGAATTTTATATCTGTGGTTTAATATTTCCAAAATGTGGAGATGACGGGCAGATGCTGCAGCCGTGTAGAAATGTCTGCCAAGGTAATACAAATACGTTATAAATCAGTGAGAAATCTATTCAATGATATTAGTAGTCTTTTGCCAACTAAGATCATAGGTTAATTTGGTTATATAGTTGGCTCGTGCATATAGTTGTTATGTGACACTAAGTTACATGAGAATGGTTTTACGCCGCTTTAGCAATATTCCAGCGAATTTATCACCAAAACCCTTAACACGTGACATGCGAACACTTTGACAGCTAGTCTTCAACAGCGCCTCTCTACCGTGTGTGTTTCACCACTGGTAAAGCGTATATTACTGTCGAATTGACAAGGAAGCCTCGTTCTCGTCGTATTAACAGTCTTCCGTAAAACGAGACTACGGACATTAAACCATAGCCTCGTTATGGATTCTTTTGGGGTCATGGCGTTGCATCGTCTAAAATGTTTTATACTTCCCAAAGAATTCACACTCGATTATTTCAAATTACTACAGTTTACCTGCCTTGATATGACTCTTTAATTAATTTCATATGCAATATTTGTTTGGTCCTTGACTATTTGGGGTAGTATACATACGGCTTTCTGATAACTACGGGTATTCATTTTGTAGATTAAGACTGGTTATGAAAGATAAGTGTTTAGGAAAGCGTATCCATGTTGGAGTATTTTAAACCTAAGGCCAGTAGTTATGGTCAGGAGAAAAAGATATGTCGCTGTTTCATGAACTATATATTATTCCAACATATTTTCTTCCTGCTAGCGATACGGCGAGACTGTACTACCTCAGTGTCCCTGTTTGACTGTGAAGGGGAGATGTTCAGCGACACTAACTGCCTCAAGCCTCCACCTGAACTACTTACAACAACAACCACATCGACAACAACCACGTCGACAACCACAACAACAACGACAGCCCATCCTGGTAAACAGTCCACGTGTAGATAATGATACTGTATATATAAGGTCTCGAACCCTGATATCTCAATTCTACGATCGAAAAATAATTGCTAGTCAGCAGACACAACTGTTTACACATCAGATTGTACAATACTTTATGTACCATATTGAATGAGTGAGTGCAGTTTTATGCCGCTTTAAGCAATATTCCAGCAATATCACGCGGAGGGCAGCATCAATAGGTTTCACACACTATAACCATGTATAACATCAAGGCTACACTACGTTGAACACATTAACCACAAGGCCACCCCACTGTTCGAACCCTTATGTATTTTGTTAGTGAAAAAAGCGTTTCATATCGGAAGCTTATTTTCAAAATGACAGTGGACATTTTTATAACTTTTTCAATTCGTGTTTGACAGTAGGCAAAACACTGCAGTCATTGTGGAAAAGGTTATGCAAATGAGAGGGTTCCGTTAAAATCCGGGCACTCCCGTTTGTATGATCTCGAAACCGGACTTTCACCTTAGAATTCAAAGCATTTGATAGCCTTGAAACAAACGTTCTCGTGGCTCTTTAGATGGCATCGTGATGAATATATAACACTTCCATCACTTAATGTCTTGTTATGACCTTCTGGTTAATATTGGTTAATATATGTCGTTTTTCAGCGGTCTGTACAAACATGGCACCGTTTACCAAATGTGCAGATTTGGGGTATAACACGACCATATTTCCAAATCTGTTTGGAGATAGAACCATGGCTACTGCAGTTGTAAACTTTGATTCTTTTGCGGGACCAAGTCTTCAGAATAACTGCTCCTCCATCGGACTCGACTTCTACTGTGCCCTGCTCTTCCCTAGATGCGAGGAAACACCTGGCTTCAAGGGGATGCAACCTTGCAAAGACTTTTGTGACGGTAGGGCACCATATGCTTTTATAGAGTGTGTGTCTGGGGTTTCCAATTGATAAATAACTCTTAATACAACCTTGATTGCATTTTGGCATAACAGTATTTTTCACAATTTTTCAATGATGGGCGCTTTAGTCTTGATTTAACGCTTCAGTGATACGAACGGGTACATCCAGGATTCGAAGCTATGCCGACAGGATGCTTAACAATCCAGTACGACACAATGTTGGTAGCAGAGTTGTCTACCTTAGCCGCACCAGGGAACGTTCGTGGGTTCGAACCCCAGACTGATGACCCATAGTGTGTAGGATCTATTTCCTTGCGCATGTGTTCCATTACGGCCATCCGCGTGCTCTAGGCAATAGGGAGTGTGCAATGAGAGAGACAGGTCATGCCAGCTAAAAGATGGTACTTGTTGTTACCGTGCTTCACGGTATTGAGGGGATAAAACCCGGACTGGACGGCTCGGCGTCTGCATGTCAGACTATGGTAACCATGTTATCTGAGCGTCAAGCACTATACATCGAGACATGTATCAGTTGCCCCACACATAACATGCACATCGGTATGTATATGCAATTTCACCTCGTGTCAAATTACTGTAATGTTAAATAGATCACTTTTGTTTTTTACCTCTATGTAGCTCACATGACGTTATGGAACTATTCGTAGCGGTCTTAGATAAAACCCAAACACTCTCCAGAGGGCGTTTTATCCAACCTGCACTGTGATATATTCTCACATCAAAGTTACCGTTATCAGTTTTGTCTCTAATTACCTGTTTCATTCTTCCAGCTGTGGTGGAGAGCTGTGCGAGTTACATGCCCTTTCCATTTGATTGTAACTACCTCCCAACCGACCGGACCAAGTGCATCGGAGCGCCCTACACCCCACCCACTCCGGGACCACGTAGGTTACCTGGCTCGTGTTTTTAACCCCTTATTGCTTCTCAGCTTAACTCTAACATGGGGTCTCATGTGGACAGAGATAGAAGACATGTTCGTGTCTGTTGTTTATCACCTAGAATCAGTAGGGGCGGTGGGTTAGCCTAGTGGTTAAAGTGTTCGCCTCGTTACTCCGAAGGCCCGGGTTCTATTCTCCACATGAGTACAATGTTTTAAGCCCATTCCAGGTGTCTCTGCGGTAATGTTGCTGGAAAATGGCTCAAAACCCGATTCACTCACTCCGGCTTGTTAAGACGTATCATTTGTTCGCGGAGATTCTGGGAACGGAATAGTTCCCCTGTAACTTTGGTTGCCCAGGGTAACGATGTTATCAGGATATTGTGTTAGGGTGTGGCCTGGCTGATTGTGGGTCATCTTGACACGGTGTGGATCGGTGCTGCTGCTATCAACCTTGATCTACCCCAAGCCAGACTCGAGTAACAGTTCCGGTTACCTTCGTGAAGGTGGATGGTGAAGATGAATGATGATAATTATGATGCTTATTTTGCCGTATAGCAACATTTATTCACGCAAAGCTGGATTGCAGTATACAGAGCATGTAGTTGTTTCTGTTTAACTTACATCGGAGTAAGCGAAGTCGGGTGTGACGAAACGTAGGTTGTAACGAACGTTATTACCCACGTGGATATATCGAATAAAGGTGAAAGTTCCACTTCTACTCTTGGTTGAGTACCTGATATATCTGCAATATGACATTGTTTGAATTCCCCTATCTTGTTTTTGACCCCACTATATCCCACGTTCGGTTCTAATATATAAACCGTTATGTGTTACAGCTCAGTGTGTGAACCAGACGTTTGGTTACTGTCGAGAGGAAGGGTTCACCAACACCCGCCTCCCTAACTGGTTCTCGGAGACAGCCTCGGGGTCAGTGGTGGCCTACAACCAGTATGGCAAGTCCACTATAGAGTCCGGTTGTTCCTACATGGCCAAGTTCTTCTACTGTGGGATATTCTTCCCCCAGTGTGAAGAGGACGGAAATGTCACCTTACCCTGCCGGAGCGTGTGTGACGGTAAGGTGCAGTTACTGAGGGGAAGGGAGTGGCAGGGCTGGAAATCTTGTTTAAGTGACAAGCGAACTACAAAAACGCGTCATCATCTAACCTGTCTTTTGCATCAGTACCTCACTCGTGTTTTGTGCTTCCCTTTTCACCTGTGTGTAATGGATCAGCATCTTATCTTTTTCTTAACCGACACTGGATTGTCTGGTCCAGACTCGATTATATACAGACCGCCGCCATATAGCTGGAATATTGCTGAGTGCTACCATGTCTCACCATGTGACCTGTGTCTTGTGCATTTTATGTCTCACCATGTCGCCTGTGCCTTATGTCTCACCATGTCACCTTTCTTATGCGTCTTATGTCTCACCATGTCGCCTGTGCCTTATGCGTCTTATGTCTCACCATGTCACCTGTGCCTTAAGCGTCTTATGTCTCACCATGTCGCCTGTGCCTTATGCGTCAGCAAGGCACCTGTGTCACCCTACGATGTGGGGAATTCAGGATAGGGGGGATGTGTAGGGTACTTTTGGTTCTGATCCTTAGATTTGATATTCGGACTCTACCCATGGTGTCAATCTCCACACCTCAATTTTTTTAAAGAATGTTTGTGTGTTGTTAGTGATGGTAATTGAATGATTTTATCAATCAATTTTTCAGAAATGACAGCTAAGTGTGGCTCAGTGTGGAGTTTCCCCATGGACTGTCGAGTGTTTCCCAATGACACAGAGAAGTGTCTCCACCCCCCGGCCCCACCCACTACAACCACAGCAGTGGCCCCTCCCACCACCCAACCCCTAGGTAGGTACTTCAGATATATAAACACCAGTATAGCCCACTAATGTACTGTTATGTCACAACGACATTGAAAAAGTCCGAACCATTTCATACTCTTGGATGGCCGACTGAGATTTTTTTTGCTCGTAAGTTTTCTCCAAAACAAACATTTTTTTGTTCGACTTTGTTAAACAAAGTATATTATTCCGCTTATGCCATCACAAAAAACAACAGAGCCGAGGTCCTCGCCAAAATATTATATGCGGGTTTCTGTTGAGAAATCCGCCAGAGATGGACGGTTCCAATGCAATGTGTTGATGAGGACAATGGATATATCTAATCCGTGGAAACCGATAGTTTAATGTTGTGGGTTGATAAAACAGGGACTGTCTGACTCAAAGCCCTCAGAAACCGGTGGTTTCACGTTCGGGATTGACGAGGACAGCTAATGTTAGACTCAGGTCCTTCAGTAGGTCGATGGTTTTATACTGGGGACTGCTAAGGCAATGGAAGTGCAACTTCTTCAGAAAGCGATCGCATTGCACAACTGTATGGAAGACTTAGTCTGTTTCTGATTGCTTACCGCTTATTCACAGCTGGGTGTCGACGGATGACGGTGGACCTGTGCAAGGTGTTCGGCTACAACATAACCTACCTCCCCGACGGCTGGGCCTACACGTCCCTGGAGGAAGCCTTCAAGGCGTATGAGAATTACGGGGAAAGGGGCGTGGCTCTCGGGTGTTCCCAGAACGCCATGTTTTACTTCTGCTCCGTCCTGTTTCCACCGTGTGTTAACGGCAAGAAGCAGATGCCATGCAGGGACATATGTCAAGGTAAGACAGTGGGGCTGCGAGTGTAACAAACCAAAATTCGACCGCCTCCGTGGTGTAGTGGTTAGAGCGTCCGCCCGGAGTGCGGAAGGTCGCGGGTTCGATCCCCGACCGCGTCATACCAAAAGACGTTAAAATATGGTACTTGTTGGTCCCTGCCTGGCGCTCGGCATTAATGGGTACAACAAGGACTGGTCGACTCGGAGTCAGTATAATGTGTCTGAGTGGGGTATTCATGCTTCACTGCGGCATGGTATCTCAGTGGGCTAGCACTATAAAACCAGCTTAAGTCTGGGCTAGTACAAGCAGCCGCACATACATACACACGCATGCACGTCGTCATATGAGCGAAATATTCTCAAGCACGACGTTAAACCCAATTCCACCACCACCACCACAAACCAAAATTCAAAATCTGATGTTGACGCATTTTACGCCACCGTCTTTGCAATCCAAGCCCCGTTCCACAGAGCAATCGTAGCCGTTACGCCGGACGTAAGTTTATGTTAAAGTATGGTTACGATCACCTCAACGCTACGATCGCTTTGTGAAACGGGCCAGAGGTTTCCAAATGATCCAATTCGCCTCAATGGTGTTCCTTTAGCGTGCCATGATCCAGTAACCATGTGTTCTATTGGTGGTGTTAGCGCCATCTACATCTATGCTACACGTCTACAGCATATGTCTCGTAGGGCATCCATGTCTCATTAAACTGACACATGTGATGAAACTCTGAAAGAGACGTTGTACTCACTCGTTACATTCCCACGAATTTCACCCGAGTCTTTATTGCAGACATCAACGACAACTGTCTGTGGACGAAAGACCTGTTCCGGCAAGATTGTGCTATTCTGTCTGATCCAAACGAAAGCACCTGCATCAGACCTCAGCCGAAAAGACGTAAGTAATGCATCATCTGACCTTAACCATCCACTAGTGACGCCATCCTACTGTTTTTATAGTGCCTTCATCTTGTAGAATAGCCTCTCGGGAATATTCTCCTGTCCCTGCAATATTCCATAGACAGGACCTCCTATAGTGGCTTCGTCCCAGGGGTATTCTGTACAATATGAAATGATTTAAGTTATCTCAGTGAGTGAGTGAAGTATGGGTTCATGCCGCATTTAGCAATATTCCAGGAATGTCACAACGGGGTACACCAGAAATGGGCTCCATACATTGTACCCACGTGGGAATCGAACCCGGGTCTTCAACGTGACGAGCGAACGCTTTAACCACTAGGCTACCCCACCGCCCCTTAAAGCACGTTAGGGATTCCGAATATTCATAATGATCCAGAGACTTGCTTGACAGTGTGGTTACTCACGGTGTGTTTTCCATGGTCTTTGCATTATCTTCTCCTTGGGGAGTATACTAGGTGTGCAGATGAGACACGGGCACTAAGTAGTTCCACGATACATTTCACTACTTAGTGGCCCATTTATTGACCCTGAATATTCCCTCTCTATTTCACAGAATGTAGGTCGGACGAATTTTCATGTTTTGGCACCAACAAGTGTGTACCGAAGTACTCCGTCTGCGACCGAAACAACGACTGTGGCGATTGGTCGGATGAGAAGAACTGTCCGGGTAGGTCTGAAGTCTGGTATTTTCTTCTCCTTTCTACACAATCAACGAATCCCTCAAAGTATGGCAAATCGCAGTTTTGTTCGAAGAACCTAAGGTAGTTCGCTGAGATTTTTGTGTCTGTAACTATATTCAGTTACAGTTATCTCGACAATAACATTTTCGGTAAAAAACATCAATTCAACCAGTTCTACCCGAATATCAAATTAATTCTTAATATAATGAAAGGTATGAAAGGAAATATTTCTGAATGTAAACCAACACCGAAACAGTTAGATATTATGCCCTGTTCAAAGTAGTTCATGTTTTTATCGTTTTTGAACACAAATATAATTCCGAAACCTATCTCCCCAGTCGGGTGACTTGTTCCGAATATTAGTTCCACTTAGTTAAAATTGGACAATCGTTTAAAGTGCGTTTGAGAAAAACATGGCTCAAATAAAAGGATCGAGCTGCGACTCAACGGTGTATTTTTGCCTTGTATCCTGCAATGAGTTCCAGCACAGGTGTGAGATGGGGTTGGAGCGGCGATCGTTTCACTGTAGATTGTATTCTTCCCTTGCAGCCTGCAATGAGTTCCAGTACAGGTGTGAGATGGGGTTGGAGTGGCGATTGTTTCACTGTAGATTGTATTCTCCCTTGCAGCCTGCAATGAGCAGATTGTTTCACTGTAGATTGATGCAATGAGTTCCAGTACAGATGTGAGATGGGGTTGGAGTGGCGATTGTTTCACTGTAGATTGTATTCTCCCTTGCACTGTTCCAGATGAGATTGTATTCTTCCCTTGCAGCCTGCAATGAGTTCCAGTACAGGTGTGAGATGGGGTTGGAGTGGCGATTGTTTCACTGTAGATTGTATTCTTCCCTTGCAGCCTGCAATGAGTCACAGTACAGGTGTGAGATGGGGTTCTGCATCAAGTCCTATCAGAGTACATGTAATGGGGCTGCATCAAGTCCTATCAGAGATGTAACGGCGTAGTTGACTGTCCAGACCGGAGTGATGAGATCAATTGTAGTGAGTGAACAAACCATTTATAGTAGAGAGCACTTTGATAGGGAGCTCCACGTCGCGGTACCCCGCATGGGATGTTGGTGTATGTCACACATCCAAAACATTGTAGGCTTGAGTCCATTAATTCCATCGAATCTTTTCAACATTCCGTCATAAAAGTGGTTATTTTGACTTCATTTTCAAAGGATGCACGGGAGGTTGGGCAGATTGTGTCTGGTCCCCTTTGTACAAACGTAGTAAAGACTACGTTAAGATATACCCTTGCGATCGTATTTGTTAAATGTGGCCTTCCAGAGTCGTGGCCATTTGTTACACGGAGCCTATTCTTGGCCCCTATAGAGATACGCTAAAATTCTGCAAAATGTGGCGTTCAACTTTATTCGCTCATCATGTAATATACCCCATGTCGAATAGATATAGCGTAGAATGTGCGCCAACAACTGGGTAAGCTGTTTTTCTAAATCTTAGACGATTCATTACTGCACGCTTTGGTGTACATACAGCCTGACCTGTATGGGCGACCTGAACACATTCTGTGGATTTCATGTCGAGTCTTTGTTTATACCGATACTTGCGGCTAGATTCTTCTGACATGATACTACTGATATTTATTTAGTACACATACAGTGTGACTGTGTTCTACTTTGCAGCGTGTAATAATGGACAATACCCCTGCACTGATGGGACCTGTATAATGTCGGAGTGGGTATGTGATGGAGACAACGACTGCAGCAACGGGAAGGATGAAGCTGACTGTGGTATGTCATAGAGCTGTGACGATATATCGTAGTATCGAAAATCGTGATACTTTATCTAACGATAAATATATCGATACTTTTTTTCGTATCGTGATATGCATCGTTGACCTTAAAATTTTAATTTTACTGGAAATTGACGGTTATTTCAGAATTTACGCTGTTACTCGCTATCAAAATACACTTTTTTAAAGAAAATAACAAGATAGCGTATCGCGATATGCATCGAATCTAATCGTATCGTTCCAAAATATCGCGATACGTAAGGTTTCGTGAAATTTCTGTATCGTCACACCCCTACTATGTCACACTGTCCTCGTACACTTACTAATAGGCAAGCGGACTGAACTAAGATCTTGTGAACAGAGCCACGGCATGTAGAAATGGCTTCCATGACTTTACTCTTTGAGGCCTAACCATCAACCAAAGCCAAGGACTGAACTAAAATATGTGACAAAGATGTTTTCAGCAAAAAGCCAAGGAAATACGATCATAGACCATATTTAAACGATCATAGACCATCTTTTAAGTTTCCAATCCTATTAACGCCTGTGTGCCGCTATTAACAAAGGAAGTTTTACTGGCTCTACAACATGCAGATTATTGGCAACGTGAACTGAATGAAATGTGTGAAGTGACATGTGCCATTTCTCTCGTTGCAGGTGCGTGCAGGAGGTCAGAGTTCGCCTGTCGGAGTGGCGAGTGTCTGCCGCTAGACCAGCACTGTGACGGCACTCCTCAGTGTGTTGACCACTCGGACGAGAGCCAGTGTAGTAAGTTGGACTACTGCTAATATGGTTATCTTGCTCGGGTTAAACCACTGGCTCTTAGGTCTGGTTCATTGTGAGGGGATAAACTGATGGAGCAAACATTTTTCGTACAATAAGCGTACAATAAAACGCCATTAACCAGACGGCCCCTGCCTATCTGATATTTGTGGTTTCCAGCAAAGAAACAAAAGTTTAAGACCTGCGTCATGAGGACTTATGACGTGTATACAACTGCTTAAAATGGTTTTTTAAAGATCAGTCACGTCTAATTCCTTCCCAAAGATTTAGGCATTTTATGATACACATTTAACTTTGTCTATATGTGATCAGATCAGAGTCAGGACAAACGCAGAGTTTTAATACACGTCCTCATGTATTGATGTATTGTCTATTCCAGTCTTTGCTCCTGAAGAAAAGCGTCCGTTCAGCCTGAAGTTCGAGCAGGAAGGTCTGATCCCAGTGTGTGCCTCGAACTTTAACGCCACTCTGGCGGACCTGGCCTGTAAGAAGCTGGGGCACACGTGAGTAGATTACCTGTCACAGTGGTATGTTGACGCCAAATCGGGGCCCACTTGCCTCTACAGCTCCACAATGTACAAACTGTGTCTTTGGGGGCAAGAGATCAGATCCTCCAACGTCAATCTGACACTCATTGATGACACATTGATGTTCAAATCTGCCTTAAACTTCCAACTGTTTTCAATTTAGCTTGCTTAGGGGAGTAATAGGGTATCTTTGGGGTTAGGTGGTATATGGCGAAGGATGAAACCTTTCTCCTGGCAGTAATACCAACGAAGAGAGCGATGTGGAATGATAAATTGTATGACATGGTTAGAGTACATTTAACATATATATATATATATCCGTTGCAGAGGTCATCAAGAATGGCGGACGGTCAGGCATGTTGTATTTGCCTATGCAGTCATTGATGGCGTGGGTCCAGAGACAACTGTCATCGGGCGTGCCACAATCAGGTACAAGACTAACATCGTCTACAACAGCGACATCATCTACAACACTGACTTCATGTCTTACTCTGTTATCATCCTTCGGACAAAGTGATTTTAGGCAAAAACAACATTCGATGGCCCATATGGCTAAAATGTATAAGTTATTAGTTCCTTCCTCGGAAAAGATAAACTGGCAGGTATATTTTGTTACCCTGTATGTTTATATCGTACATAAGTGCCTTATTCATTAAACTTTCTTTTTCAACATATTTATCATCCATCTATTATTCTTTTCACAGAGGAAGCTGTCCTGGTTCATCGGCAGTAGTTTTAAAATGTCACCCTAAAGGTAAATAATCATTGTATAATTCTCTAAAAGGGGCTATAATAAAGGATTACATGTATCCACCATGATTTGGTTGGTATAGGGTAGCTGTCCTGGTTCATCGGCAGTAGTTTTAAAATGTCACCCTAAAGGTAAATAATCATTGTATAATTCTCTAAAAGGGGCTATAATAAAGGATTACATGTATCCACCATGATTTGGTTGGTATAGGGTAGCTGTCCTGGTTCATCGGCAGTAGTTTTAAAATGTCACCCTAAAGGTAAATAATCATTGTATAATTCTCTAAAAGGGGCTATAATAAAGGATTACATGTATCCACCATGATTTGGTTGGTATAGGGTAGCTGTCCTGGTTCATCGGCAGTAGTTTTAAATTGTCACCCTAAAGGTAAATAATCATTGTATAATTCTCTAAAAGGGGCTATAATAAGGATTACATGTATCCACCATGATTTGGTTGGTATAGGGTAGCTGTCTTGGTTCATCGGCAGTAGTTTTAAAATGTCACCCTAAAGGTAAATAATCATTGTATAATTCTCTAAAAGGGGCTATAATAAAGGATTACATGTATCCACCATGATTTGGTTGGTATAGGGTAGCTGTCCTGGTTCATCGGCAGTAGTTTTAAAATGTCACCCTAAAGGTAAATAATCATTGTATAATTCTCTAAAAGGGGCTATAATAAAGGATTACATGTATCCACCATGATTTGGTTGGTATAGGGTAGCTGTCTTGGTTCATCGGCAGTAGTTTTAAAATGTCACCCTAAAGGTAAATAATCATTGTATAATTCTCTAAAAGGGGCTATAATAAAGGATCATGTATCCACCATGATTTGGTTGGTATAGGAGCTGTCTTGGTTCATCGGCAGTAGTTTTAAAATGTCACCCTAAAGGTAAATAATCATTGTATAATTCTCTAAAAGGGGCTATAATAAGGATTACATGTATCCACCATGATTTGGTTGGTATAGGGTAGCTGTCTTGGTTCATCGGAAGTAGGTTTAAAATGTCACCCTAAAGGTAAATAATCATTGTATAATTCTTTAAAAGGGGCTATAATAAAGGATTACATGTATCCACCATGATTTGGTTGGTATAGGGTAGCTGTCCTGGTTCATCGGAAGTAGGTTTAAAATGTCACCCTAAAGGTAAATAATCATTGTATAATTCTCTAAAAGGGGCTATAATAAAGGATTACATGTATCCACCATGATTTGGTTGGTATAGGGTAGATGTCTTGGTTCATCGGCAGTAGTTTTAAAATGTCACCCTAAAGGTAAATAATCATTGTATAATTCTCTAAAAGGGGCTATAATAAGGATTACATGTATCCACCATGATTTGGTTGGTATAGGGTAGCTGTCTTGGTTCATCGGAAGTAGGTTTAAAATGTCACCCTAAAGGTAAATAATCATTGTATAATTCTTTAAAAGGGGCTATAATAAGGATTACATGTATCCACCATGATTTGGTTGGTATAGGGTAGCCTAGTGATTTAAGTCCGGGTTCGATTTAAGTCTGGTATCCTCCACCTTTTCTTGAATATAGCTATAAGCAATAATCTGTATACCAAACTGAATACTGCTATTTAGACTCTTAATCCGGTGGCTGTTTGTAGAATGTGGACATCCAAAACCCCACCGCGTCTCCTACATTGTCAACGGCAACAACGCCATCGTCGGAGATTGGCCTTGGCAGGCCTCCATACAGAGGAAGGGAAAACACTTCTGCGGGGGCGCCCTCGTCAGCCCCAACTTCATCGTCACGGCCGCTCACTGTGTAGAGTAAGTACCGATGGGAACACACGAAACAACATAATAAAGCTTGATATTATAGGTCAGACTTATTTCAATGTCTTTCAATCTTAAGCCAGTCCAGTTTGCAAATGAATGAGGAATGTATTTAGGCTTTAACGTTGAACTGACTAATGGCGTGTATTTCAGGGCCTACACAAGCGACCACAGAAACATTGAGGTGGTTCTTGGAGCCTCTAACGTCAGTGCAAAGGAACCACAGCAACAACGCCACAACGTCAAGAGTCTGACCATCCACAACCACATCTACCACCAGAAGAACGACATCGCCCTTGTCGAGATCGACGGCACCGTCAACTACACCGACTACATCCGGCCTATATGTCTTCCGGGCAAGGACGATGTGTTCACGAAGACTACCAAGTGTTTCGCAGCCGGATGGGGAATGACCAAGGCAGACGGTAAGTGTCTCATTTACTTACGTGCGCACGTTGGTCGTGTGAACGTTGTGTGCGTTGTGATTTAGCGTAAGCATGACTTAAAACGTATGCTACGATGGTGGTGGAGCGAAGTAATGTGGACATCGGATGTCACATTGAATGGTCAATGGCGGTATGCTGTTTTCCGTCATATATCACGGATTCATGTTAAATTACTCACTTTGACAAAAGTTTGGAATAATTCAGAGTTGCCTTTTGTTGCATGGTGTTGGCCATGGTTACAGTGTGAGTACATCTGATGTTGCAGGCCCTGCCTCCCAGTGGTTGAAGGATGCCAAGATGCGACTGTGGAACACGGCCAAGTGTAACGGGTCCTACGCCTGGAACGGTGCTATCAGCGAGACCCACCTGTGTGCCGGCTACTACTCAGGCCTCATCTCCATCTGCGTGGTCAGTGTTTGTTCGTACACCATCTACCCATATTGGGATTAACGAAAGGAACATATTTTACACATGCAACCCTGTTTTGTAAATTATTTAGAATATTCAGTTTTTTTCTGAACAATATTCGCCTATATGTAAAAACATCTTGACATTAACTGACCATAGGACCAATTTCTTTTGGTTGACGGTGTTGACCCAGTGGGTAAAGCATTCGTCCCGTGAAGCTCAATTTTGGTTTTCCATTCAATGATTGGCTATGCTACATGTGGCGTAAAACCATATTTAATGACTTGGATGCCTAACTTGTTTCCAGGGTGACAGTGGCGGCCCTTTGATGTGCCAGACTAATGACAACAACTGGAAGTTGGTGGGTGTGGCCAGCTACGTGGCCAGAGGCTGCAACGTCCCCGCTCGCCCATCTGTCTTCAGTGACGTGAACGTCTTCAAAGAGTGGATTGAAGACAAAATAGGTATACCACGCAGTACCTATCAATGATGTGTGCTGTATCTTAAAAACTGTAATTGTTTATGGGTTATTAGCACTAGTCGTTATAACACCCAGCTAATGAATTATCGCAGTGTGCAGATAGAGTTTATGTTTACATCAAAATTATTTATTTTATGGAAAAAACACAGAACCAAGAAGGAAATGCCGAAAACCGGACTTGGAGGTGTTATTTTTAACTGACCACGTGTCTTATTAAGTTTTTTGATGACTTGTCATGTTGATGACATTACGTTTTAATGGATTGGTTATAGCTTATAGGATTCTTTAGAATTCAGTGTGGTCAATGCACACATGTATCCTTTCACATTTGCCCAATTTTCTCCATGTAAGATATTTAGAGCGTTGTCTTGGTGATGTTTCAGAGTGCAAGTTCCGCTGCAGGAATGGCAACTGTATATTTGACCGGGAGAAACTATGTGACCGGAAGAACGACTGTGGAGACAACTCGGACGAGATCGAACTCTGTAGTATGTTTTCTTATTGTTCTACAAGCCCCAGTTAGTATAATACTGGCTGACACATACCTTTGTCATCGGCCTTCTGAATCCAGTGAACTTGACAGCTGAAACTGGTTGAGTTTCAACGTGACCGTTACGACCATTTAAAGGGCATGATTAAATTATATATATATCATTGGAGATTTTGGAAGTACGGAGATATTGTGTGGTCTGTATAAATTGTGCACTATTTCCTTTCAGACACCTCTGTCAACTGCACATTTGATGACAAGTTTCTGTGTGGTTACAACGGCAGCTGGCATCTTCGCACTCAGAGCGACTACGACAACCGTTATCCACTTTACGACCACACATACGGCGCCTATCCAGGTAAGTGCTGTCTGTTTCCATAGTTACTTGACCTCTTTCAGAGAGTAGGCAACTCTCTCCGGAACACGTTAGAACAAATTCAGCTAGTTCTATCGTTTATTCAGAAAATATACAAAACTGTTATGTGCCTATGTTTGTGATGCGGTGTATCTGTCATAGTTATTTTCTTTTGTGGCATCCATCATCTTTGTCGTAGATATATTAGTGATTCTGCAATTCTGAAATCCTTTTGTTCTTCAAGGTATGTTTATGATCGCCAAGTCTCGCGGGAAGACCCTAGCGTCCCCCCGTTTCACCATCAACACCACCCACTGTGCCAGCTTCTACTACCACATGCGGGGACCAGTAACTGGCGGACTTCAGGTGTGGACTCACAGGCTACCGGAACAGGGTCAGAATGACTGGTTACCCGTCTTCCGAAGGAACCAGTACATGGGCGAAGACAACTGGGTGCGGGGGGAGTTCACAATCACCCCTGACTCCTATGAGATTGTCTTCTTCTCTGATGAGCAGGGTAGGATTGCTGTCGATGATTTCATGCTGGTACCTGGAGCCTGTGCCGACAGTGGTAGGTTTTTCTGAGGAGTACATAGTATGAATCAAATACGATTTAATCTGCAAATAACATCACCATTATCATAGTCGAAGAAGCAATTTACATCTCATTAGTACGATTATTCTGGCATGATATCATCTTATGTGTCCAGTACAAGGCAATCTGTTGAATATATGAATACCATTAAGATTAACACGTGACTTTAGCAAATACATTCAATAAGACAAAACTGGTCCATATTCAAATGTATATTGTGGTGACGTCAACATATTGCAGCTCGAGTGCTGATCTTGAAGTAAATGTATAAGTCAGCGTCTGTTCATCTTCAGGTTGCCCTGACGACATGGTGGCGTGTACTTCCGGTCTCACACTGCAGTGTATCAAGAAGAGCATGCAGTGCAACATGGTGGCTGACTGTGAGAAAGGGGAGGATGAGTCGCGGTGTACGGCGCCATCTTTGTCATGTGACTTCGAGAGCGGGCTGGAGTGTGGACTGAGACAGGCGACGGATGATGACACACATGCCGAATGGAGAATGATGAATGCCTCAATCTCGGACAGAAAGGTCACTGACAATACCTTCCGGAACGCATCAGGTAAGCTGATTTGTCAGTAAAACCCAATAATCCTTTCCATCATCGTGAGAACATCGGCCTTCAACTCTCCAAGCAGACACTCTCTCCATTGGACGGAGGCAGTTGTTCTATTCGTAAGTGTGTGAGATATAGACCTATTCATATGTTGCCACTGTGTCTTCAGGTGTCATGCTGCTGTTGGACACCAACTATCTTCTGGAGGACAAGGAGGTGAAGATGCACCAGAATCTCATCCTCAACCAGCCCAACAGCTGTCTCAAGTTCAGTTACTACAGCAAGTCACCAGGTTCCATGGAGGTAATACAACACCTCACACACTGACTTGTATCCTGACATCAGTAATCTTCGTAGTTTGACACTGGGAATTATAGACTATCCACTGAGCTACAGGACGTACGCCGCACTCAGCAATATTACAGCTGTGGCGGCGGTCTGTAAATAAGTGAGGCTGGACCAGACAGTCCAGCGGTGAACAGCACAGACAATTTACCTGATGGTTATTGCTGATCTCCAAATAGTAATATGTAGATAGTATTTCTTTTCTCTCTCCACACAGATTACGTACACTAGGAACGGTTCCGGTGTCGCCAATCTCCTATGGGATATCAAGAACAGGCGAACCCTCGGTTGGGCGAACACGCAGGTGGACATCCCCGTCTCCGGCAGCATCAAGCTGGAGTACACCGTCATCGGTGGTGTATACGACCTCACCTACAAACCCTTCATTGCAATAGACGACATCCACATAACTGAGGGAACCTGTGGTCTGTTTGGTGAGTGAGTGGGTTTGCAGCAACGTCTTCATCAGCAAATAGATAACGTGTTTATTGAACCGTTCTTTATAATTATATTAGATATTGACACCGTTCTGAGTCCATAAAATGCGTCAATGTATTATTCGTTCAATCTTATAAACAGGCTGGGTTATTTCGAGAATGCACCCTCCGATACCTTAGGGTTACATATACGGAAGATTGTGGACTGTTGCCTCCTTTATCAGAAGATAAACGCCAGACATGTTTTCTCTGTGAGTACAATTACATGCATGGATTTGTTTGTGTTGACCAGACTGTGAACCAGACCTGATGCCATGTACTTCTGAGAACTATTGCCTACCGATGACCAGTTTCTGCGACCGTCGTGTTGATTGTAATGACGCCAGTGACGAAGCCGGATGTAGTGAGTTGTCTCCCTTTATTTAATTTATTTGCTCGACCTGAGTAAAATTTAACTTGGTTCTTACAAATATGTTTTGGAAGTAATGACTTCAGAGAGTGAGTGAGTAAATGTTGCAACATCAGCAGACATCTCCTGAAATGTACTTGCAGAAAATTTCACGTGAAATCTTATCTGCTTATCTGTATTCAGGCGCGTAGCAAGCCAATGTTTTCGTGTAAGCCCGATAGGTTGCAAAGCTTCATATTTAGACATTATTGAGGGCTTGCCCACCCTTTTAGCAACAATCTTGTGTAAGCCCAGGCCTTTTTTTCATAATGGTTGCTACGCCCCTGGCATTCATGTGCAATGTAAGGCTTGATAATGCGCACCTGTGAAGATCAGAGTGATAACTGGCCCGCAGCAATCCAGCGCTTGGCGAGTAATGTCGGAGAGGCGCTGACATGGTTCATGTATAAGGTTGTGTCCCAACTGCATCGATCGATGGTCGTGATGTCGACCACTCCAATGTCCGAAAAGCTGGACTATTGCTGTGTAAAACAACTGACTTACTTTCTAAGCTACTACTACATTGGGAAAACCCTTTCGTCTTTTCCAGCATGCACTCCGGAAGAGTTCAAGTGTCCTGACGGTCCATGCATACCGATGGAGAAGACCTGTGACCGGCACAAGGACTGTTTGGACGACAGGGATGAAGCAGATATATGTGGTGAGCCAATGGACGCTCATGTAAACCCCTTGTGTATAGTTATAGTTATCCAGTTATATACGTCGTGTTTCTTACATACACGCTTTTCAGGTCAGCTGTAAACAAATATGTGTCGTGTGGCAACCTTTTTAACGATAGTAAGGTTACTCTTCCCGAAGTGGCAAATGTATTATTGATTCTCATATATGTTAACCCTTTTGTTTCAGCGCATCTTGTGTCCGTCAGCTGTGATTTTGAAAACCACTTTCTCTGTGGTTACACATTTAACGATACAGCCTATAAGTGGGCGCAGCGTGCAGGGGAGACAATCACGCCCAGCACTGGACCAAAGTCGGACCATACCTACGGAAATAAAACAGGTAAAAAAACATCGTGTCATTTCATTTGGGGTTGCCTAGTGGTTAATGCGCTGACTCGGTCCGATTGGGTACTGTAAAGCCTATTTCTGGAGATTCCGGGATGTAGATGGTCTAATAAGCAGTTTGTGTTATTTCATCAACCACTGGATTGTCTGGTCCAGACTGGGGTATTCATAGTCCGTATATTTGGTTATTCATTCGGCTTTTAAACTCACAAAACGGATACACTCATTCGAATTCATTTGAAACAAAATAATCATGAATGGTATCATTCAGTCAAATACACACCGACCCACTCTTGATAGTATATAATTTTTATCTAATCCTGCACTACTATAAAAATAGTGCAGGACTTCGGACTATAAACAATAGTGCAGGATAAGTATACAAAGTAGTGCAGGATATAGTGCAGGATAAGTATACAACTATAAAAAAAGTGCAGGATAAGTATACAACTATAAAAAAAATAGTGCAGGATAAGTATACAACTATAAAAAAAAATGCAGGATAAGTATACAACTATAAAAAAATAGTGCAGGATAAGTATACAACTATAAAAATAATTAGATTTTACTCATATTTAGTTGTTCTGTTGATTTAATGTAAATAAGAGGGACACATCGGGATATTCGAAGCCATTACAATAAGAAAAAAACATGGTATATTTTTAAATATACATTTGGTGCTGGTGTATACAGGTCATTACATCTACGCTGACGGCACCGATGGGGTCACAAATGCGGTAACCACACTGGAGTCGCCTACATTCGCCTCCACCGGCAACGGCGTTGTGTTCTACTACCAGATCTACAGCGCGTTCCAACAGTACCCTCAGTTCCGGAAGATGCACCTGGGCAACCTGACGGTGAAAGTCCAGGACAATACTAATGGCGCCGTCACGGTTATGTTTCAAGACAAAGCCGATGGCAATCAGAGATGGAAGCATCACTGTGTGGACCTACCTGTGTCGCAGAACCTCACACTGATATTCGTAGCGCAGAGAGGCAATAGGACGCAAGCCGATGTGGCACTGGATGATGTGAAACTTTTAAGTAACAGTTGCAGGGACGGTATGTTTAGAAATGCTATCGCTAATCACTTCTGGTTGACCCCTATTGTAATCGCTGTTGGTCATGCCATAGTGTCTGTCAATATTGTTATCGAAGAGGAATTCTCTCCGTGATGTGAAACGGATGATGTGAAACTTGTTCGTATAGTTTATGTAAAGTGCAGTAACTGTCCAAAATGCGTGGGCAAAGTGATACATTTGTTATGTAAGTGTTTCAATTGCCCGCTTCTTCACTGACCAAACTGCCTAGGTAAGGTGGTCTTATTGTTATGAAAATAAAACTCTTAAGAACAGTGACGAATTTGAGAGACATGGTAGCTATACCGACGTACAATTTATGTCACAGTCGCTGAATATTACAGGCATCATATGATAATCCAGGAGTTCACTCATTGTTTTGAATTTCAGAAATCATCAATCCTCTTCCCACAATCGCGACAACTGCCGCACCAGGAGACGGTAAGTCGTAAAATGGTTATTCCACCATTTATTATCACGGCTATATTGGGTTGTTTTGAAGCACGGTCGACACTCTATTTTTCTAAATATAGACTTCAGCTGTGTTTAGAGGGACAGCTGCTACACCTTTGGCCTTTAAAACAAACAACTGTGCGTTGTGCTTTTTAAACAAGTCCAAAATTACAAACGTTACCAAACATTAAGTTGGTTATAACCAGTCGCTATAATACTGTCAACGTACAGATCAAAACATAACTATGATACCTATGACAAGTACACCGTCATCGAATAAAAACCTTTCCTTGTCGGTCACAATTTCCGCCTTTTCAGCCGGGCACTTTACTGAAATCCAGCCTGGTTCCCCGGGGTCTGTTGCGGCTGCGCTCAGTGTCGGAGCGTTAGCGCAGGCGCAACAGACCCCAGGAACCAGGCTGTACTAAAACCTTGCATGGTAGTAAAGAACATCTTGTTATCCACACCGTTACTTGCATTACCATGATTGGTTATTGTGGACGATATTACGTGGAATGGTTGGTTTAACAGGGTTTCACTGTACGTTTCTCTAACGGATTGTTTATTAACATTTCAGGTTGCCAAGAAGGAAAGCGGATGTGTAACAATGGGATGTGCGCCCCTAAAGAATACTTCTGTGACAGTGTCCCGTACGATTGCGTGGACAACAGTGACGAGCTCAACTGCTAAACACGTGTACATTTTGCCTGCTTTATTCTGTGATATCTCGGAAAACAACCACCAGCAGATCTGAAACATCGGTAAAAATCCAGTACTCCAAAGAAATATATATTAAACACTGCAACACAGTGAAACCGCAACTTACGTGCTTCTCTGTATTATGGTAACATTCATTACAATAATTTGAAAAATAATTTAGTTATTATATAAACAAATGATAAATGTGTTTATACTTCCGATAGTCACATTTTATGGCACTGACCAAAATAATTGCACGTTTGGATATTAACGGTATTGTGTTAATGTGAGTTGTTTGTTTATTATATACATATTGTTAAGATTAATATTGTTTATATTAGATATTTTCTACTTTTTATATTACACGGGGTATTAGAATGTGTTTTGTGGATACAACGTGTACCATAGGGGGCAGTCGTCAGCAGTTATGTTATGAACCTATTTTATGGTTTTGTTCAGTGTTAGTAATTATGATTCATAACATATGTTTTCTAATATTAATTCAATTCCACCATGTGATGTGTTCAGAGTACGTTAAAACAGTTCCGACAGTATATCTGTATTCCTGTAAATATAATTACACAGAATAAACAATGTCTAAGCAAGATGATTAGAACTGCTTAACCTAAGGTTAAGCATACTTTACAGAACACCATGTTATACTAACGGACCCACTAAACCATGGAAAACACCGAGTAAGATAACGTTTTACTAATTTTGTACTGAAATGCAGGGTGTGTAAGTATTCTGTCTTGATAAATATGTATACCCATTCTGAAAATACATTTAAGGTTATGTCCTTTGCCTAAGTACCGGTGTTGTTTAAAAATATTTAAGCGTATTTTTTCAGAGTTATACTTACAGACAGTTTTGGTAGTTATGGGGTAATGGGGAGGGTCTTTCCGTGAACATTGGGATCTATATGTCTGTGAGACGTATTTGTATCAATGATTTATGTGCATCTTTGGTTGTGAACTGTGACAAAACGCTGCTATTTCAGAGTTGCTTATGAATAATGGCAGAACATGTCTGTGCTATATATATATATATATATATATATATATATATCTGTTAATTAAGAGCAAGATACGTGTATAATATTATATTGTATATTCAGACCGACCGAAGTACGAATGTAAGAGTGCATGAACGAATGTTAACAAAAGTGTTTAGTCCTTATGCCATTATGCGAGTATGTGTTTGTCTTCATATTGGTGCAAATAGCATCCATCTTATCCTTTCACGCTCGTTACATTTAGCTGTTCGTATCTATTTCCATAGAAGTCTAATACTCACCTTTTCATCTATAATAGCTATTTCACGTCCCACATAGAAAGGTCTTTTCATAATGTATGCATCCTCGCCTTATGTAAAGAAAACTATCAGCCTATTTGTACAATCACAACTCGCCAGATACATCTATTGACAACATCCTTTTTCTTTGTAACAAAATATGCATTGTTTATCTTTCTATTGAATTATTACTGTTAGTGCAACATCCCATACTCATTTACCGTTATCTTTTACAAGGGTATTCAAAGCCTTGGTTTAGAAAGTGCTTTACATTAGGTTGTGTTGTGAATGTAGATCACTCTTGGTGAAGAGTTTATGAAAACCGTTTGTTTAGATATTTGTGTTCCTTACATCCTCCGTTGAGACAGGATTCTGCTGTTTGTAAATGTACCTTGTGCCGCCTTTGCTCATGTCGGTAATATACACATAATATCAAATACATCACCGTCTAGCGTTGGTGTATACATCTATTTTCCCGTCAGTTTATATTGAAAACTGAACGGGTTCTTGAATCACCATCTTGAAATTGCTTTAAAAATTGTCATCATTTTATGGGTTTTCGGACGCTTAGGAACATCCGGTTTGTCACGATTACCACATGAACATTTGTAAACATGTCACTAACTTATTACTAACTTATTAAAGACAACTTTATCTTAAACGCAAGCCCAAGCCCGAGTACTTATAATATCTGTGTGATCCCACCCGCCTCGTCATAGTGCGAGTTAACACTTCCTTTTCAGGATAAGAGCACTCGACTTCTTTATTACAATGAATGCGGCGTTTCTGATGTAAACGCTAACAACGTAATCATGCACATCACATGCTTGGTTTACAGTTTAGTACCTACACCGAAACGTCATATTTATTGTTACGAGAAGTTAGGTAGGTAGGTATGTAAGGTTTTAGGGCGACCTTACGAGAAGTTGTCTAGCCAGTGAATTATCTCCCTTGTTCATTGCCCGTACTTCCCAATACCACACAGAGAAGTCGAGTAGCATTAGAAGTGTTGCTGTTGGCTGAGACTGTGGAGAACTATTTATTTCCGCGTTATTAATGGTTATATTTTGTTAAATTCGTGTCATTCCTATCACAGTTCTAGTTGTTTATGTATTAATACGTGTAACCCACTCTAGGTGTGTCGTTATTGAATGTTGAGATTGTATATACAAAACAGGGTTTATTCTGGTAGTCGGATTCACATCACAAGATTGATTCCGACACACTGTTTATATACAAAACGGGATTGATTCTGTTACTGTTATAAATTTAATTTGCATCCTTTTAGTCCAGACTTAGAGGAACTTGGAACAAACTTACAGCTTGGACCAACCAACTCCAGCAGTGTCAAAATGACCGTGTCCTCCATATCCCGTTATCTTGCAAGAACATTGCATTATCGCAATATACTATCATAGCCCCATCTGGGGCTTGAAGTTAGAAAGAAATCCATGGTTTTAATTAACGTGAAGAATAATTTATGTCGAATCTGATCATGACTAAACAATAGACTCGTGCCCTATTGCTTTCTTACCAAACTGGATTTGACTTCGTCATATTTTATCATGTTTACCACTCAAAAGAATTTTAAAATACCCGATTTTTTTCATATTACTTTGGTTAAATTGTCGAGACCCTCTCTGATTGTGATTCAGGGTTGTCCACGCCATACCATTGCTCGTTGATTTTCGTGAGCACAAGTATGGAAGTTCTTCCATATAATCTGATTTAAGTGAAACAGTTTTACACTGAACCGAAGCTACTCTAGCAGTTCCATGCTAGAATGGTCTGTAATGCCTTCGAATTCTTTTAAATATACCACAGCAAACTGAATGCTCTGTGTTCATTTTGTCCTTTCTAATATTCATGTTTGCAGGGTCTGTTGAACAATGTTGTGTAACTTATGTAGATGGAGCCCTAACGGTGTCCACCATCTAATTCATATTGAGGGTATTTATATACATGTGTAAGTATTTCACAGGCAAAGCACCTGTTGTGAATCTTGTTTGCATTGCGGTTGTGGTCGCTTGAAAAGCGATGTAACATTATGATCATGAGTGATTGTGTAAATGAAATATTACTGTGTGTAAAGATGCTATGCAGTTGTACATTTTCATACGAAAATAAGTTGTATATTGCTACATATATTTTCTGATAGAACGTTCTGATACATAATGTACTTGAAAAGTAAAAAATGAAACAAAAATAAAATATTCAAATATTTAAATGCTTCTTCTGTTTTGTTCATCAGATGGTACGACACTACATACACACACACACACACACACACACACACACACACACACACACACACATACATACATACATAGAAACATTTACATAGCGCTAAAATCAGATAAGCACTGCTCTAAAGCGCTTTGAGTCCAACATCTATAAAGTGGGATTCAGTAGGCTTGGCTAAACAGATGTGTTTTAGTCGGTTTTGAAAAGTGAGAGTTCTTGTGTGGCTCGTAGGTTGAGTGGGAGTTAGTTCCATAAGAATGGTGCTGCTGATGCAAAAGACCGTTCGCCGTAAGACTTTGTTCTGGAGCTTGGTACCACAAGGAGATGGCTGTCAGCTGACCGCAGACTGCGCCGAGGTTGGTATGGCTGGATAAGACTTGAGCTGTAGTCAGGAGCAAGATTGTGGAGAGATTTGAAGCTGAGAAGCAGAATCTTGTAGATGGTTCGGTAGCGAACAGGTAGCCAATGAAGTCTCTTCAAGACAGGGGTGATGTGCACGAACTTGCGAGTGAGAGTGACCACACGAGCCGCTGCATTCTGGACCTGCTGCAGTTTCTTGACCAGATGAGCTGGGAGACCATAGAGGAGTGAGTTGCAGTAATCAAGGCGAGATGTGATGTAGGCCTGAACTAATGCTGCTGCTGTTTTCTCATCTAGATATTTCGGATCTTTCCAATATTCCTGATACTAGATAGTCTATAAGCGGCTTTTGTATAGAACATGCTCATCGAACGATCCTGAGCTGCATCAAGTCACATTCTGTTCCCGTTGGGATTCTGGGTTCTAGGTAGGGCTTGGGCGGGTCCAAATTTTCTACCCGGGTACCCCACCCCCTATTACCCTACCCTACCCGGATATCCGTTATGTTAATTCCTGACATCAAATTTGTAAAAAATGGCAATATTGTCTTCAGCTTTTTCAATATTTTAACCATGTAATTCAAAAGAAGTGTCTGTAGGTATGTCGACATCTTCAAAGACAATGCAGCCTCTAGATCATGAAGGAATAACATATTACATTGTTTAATCTATTAATCACATAACGGGTCCGGGCACTGAGACGGGTACCCGGGTCCAACTCATTACCCACCCGTCCCGGGTATCGGGTCCAAGCTCTAGTTCTAGGTCCCTAGAAATTGGCACATGTGATAAGAGGCAACGAAATGGGTCGGGTGGTCCGACTCGATGACTTGGTTTACTGCGTGTACATATACGCGAGCACGTGAAAGACTGCTCTTAATATCAATCAGTGGTTTGTCTGGCGCAAACAGGCTCCTGGTTGCGAGGTAACACATTGTAATCCTCACGTCAGCGAGTTCAATGTAGAATAAAAGGCTACAATGAACACTGAAGAGAATGATCATTACATCCTCAAAGACGGTTTTCTGTGCGGTGTGTTTGTTTCCTTAGGCCATCAAAGATGGTTTTCTGTACGGTGTGTTTGTTTCCTAAGGCCATCAAAGATGGTTTTCTGTACGGTGTGTTTGTTTCCTAAGGCCATATAATGCTGTGGTCTGTACATAATCGAGTATATGGACCAAAAATAC